GTGAAACAAGCAATTCACGTTAGGCTACTCGTACAACGTGCAAACAGATATAATTGTGTATCTTTTACTCCCAATATGTCAGAACAGACGATCATACCTGCGTTGTAATACTCATGTGGCTATTTAATTTAGGCCAAGTGTCTGGCAGAAGATGTTGATGTGAGTGCAAGAAAAAGGATTGATAATCTGTAGCTTTGCTGCGTCTTCCGAGGTCTTTTTGTCACTTAAGCAAAGGTGTTGCATTGTGTTATAACTTATCAGCCTTCTTTGCCAAGTCCCCTTTTACCTACACAGTTGGTCTTGACTCCCCGCTTTATTTTGGCTACATCATGACGTATCTTCTCTGTCGTTTGCTCTCGAGTTTGTAAGTCGATCCCGATCCCAGAAGAGGTCGAACACCTCTTGCAAGCATTTTTTGGGGGGAGGGGGGGTGTTTATCAGTACAGCCCCTTGTCATGAATAGCAGCTGCTACTATGATTAACTATGTTGTTGTTGTTGTTGTTGTTGTTGTTGTTGTTGTTGTTATTGTTGTTGTTAGCGATCCAGTAGCATCTGAGCGTTAACTCTTCTGCATGATGCCATTCGGAAATAGTTGCATGTTTGTTCTAATTGCTGTCTTGAGGAGTAGAGGCAATTAGATGTGTGGGGTAGCTTGGGAAGAAAACATCCCCTTAAATCAGTTAGTTTTCTACAGAAGAACAGATGATGTTCCACTGTCTCTGAGGGGTAGTCACATAGTGGGCAGGCAGCAGACTGCTTTACTCCAATTCGGTTGAGATGTTGGTTGAGGGGTACAAGTTGTGTTCTAAGTTGGAAGAATATGGATTGATCTCCCCTCCTCAACTCATTGATTGGATCTTTGACCAGTGGTTTATTCATGTGGCAATACATCCTCCTTCCTGTCGTACCTGTGGCCCAATCATTCATCCACTCTTCCTTGAGGTTTGACTTGATTATTTGGCAGCAGGTGGTGTAATTCGAAGGAATTTCAGGCTGAGGGAGGCTAGCTCCTTTCTTTGCCAGAGCGTCAGCTCTTTCATTCCCCTGTATCCCAGTGTGGGCAGGAATCCATTGTAGGACTACTGTGACGTGGTGCCTACTTATCAAATTATGTAGACTCCAAATCAAGTGCAATATGTCTTTGTTCCCATCAGCCCCACTCTCAAGTGTCTCTAGTGTTGAAAGCCTGTCTGTAAATATAACGATGTCTGTGGTAGCAAGTGGGTTAGTGTCAAACAAGTAGTTGATGTAGTTTGCTGTGTTGGTGATAGCTTGTTGTTCGGCAATGAAATTGGAGCAGAAGGACCCGCTAAAATTAAAGACTTTTTTTTTTATCCCACTGGGCAAGTTGATCACTGACCCATAGCCAGCGTTGATTGTTGCCTTAAAGGCAGATCCATCAGTGTATGAGTGGATCCATGTTGGTGGATAGGAATCAATTGTTTCAAGGGCAGAATGTTTTAGTGCTACAGGATATGTGTTTTTATTGCTCTTGTCCAAAAGTGTTTTCCTAATTTCTGGCTTTGCTATGGTGAGATGTGGTGGGAGAGTTGGAGGAACTCTTTCCAGAGGTTCTCGTCTTTCAGGGAGGTGATGTTTTCTTGGAGATTGAGAACAGTGTCAAGTACAGATTGTGTATTTTTTAGTCTTTGATTAGGTTTCCACTTGTCAACAAGGATTCTTTTAGGGTGGTTATTTTCTAGCCTTTTAGATCTTTCATATACTTCTAAAGCTGTCCGTTTTCTTCTAGTTTCTAATGGCTCAATATTTGTGTGGATTTCACAAGCCGCAGTCGGTGAGGATCTCATTCCGCCAGAGATAAGACGAAGAGCTTGGTTTTGGATGGTGTCCATTGAGTTTTTTGTAGTTTTACTGCAAATGTTTTGTAGAACAAGATTATAATCAAAAACAGCTCTGGTATATCCTAAATAGAGGCCTCTCAAGGTGTTCTTGTCTGATCCCCAGTTGGTACTGGCTTATCGTTTGATGAGATTAAGTCTCTTCATAGCCTTCTTCCTGAGGTTGTTGGTGTGTTGTTTCAGGTTGAGCTTGCTGTCAAGTTGTACTCCAAGATACACTGGGTTATTTTCCTTTTTCAAGTTGGTACAATCTATTTTGAAAAGGATTTCTGCATTTGCAAGATTATAGCTTCTCGTAAAAACAGAGTAGACAGTTTTTTCGCAATTTACTTTCATCTTCCATAAACGGCAATAGATTCCTAGGGAATTTAGATCATCTTGTAGTCTTCGTCTGCTTATTGTTGTCGAGCTTCCAGTGTGCCAAACGACCAGGTCATCAGCAAAAAGGGCTTTTTCTGTTTTGAGAACATCTGAAACATCATTGAGGAAGACAAGGAATAAGGTACAGCTGATAGAAGATCCCTGTGGGAGTCCTTCCTCAAGTACTGCTTTTGAAGATAAGGTTTCATCCATCTGGGTCTGGATAAGTCTATCTGTAAGGAATGATTTAATCCAGGAGTACATGTTTCCCTTGATTCCCATGTTTTGCAGTTTTAAGAGTAGTCCTTTCCTCCACACTCTATCGTAGGCTTGTTGGAGATCCACAAACACAGCCGTTGTCTGTTCCCCTCTTTGAAATCCATCAATGATTTTCTGTGTAAGCCTGAAGAGCTGGTCTTCTGTCCTGCCTTTTGACCTGAACCCTGCTTGACACTGTGATATCAGACCTGAAGACTCAAGCCACCAATAAAGACGAGAATTGAGGATTCTGTCACAGAGCTTGCCAATACAGGACGTGAGTGATATTGGGCGGCAGTTTTTAGGGTCATTGGCCTTCTTTCCTTTCTTTAAGATTGGGTTTATAGTGGCTAGTTTCCATGCTTTAGGCAGATTTCCCTCAGTCCATGTTCTGTTGTAGAGCTTAAGAAGTAGCAATTTGGCTTTTTCACCAAGGTTTTGTAGCATCTCATTGTGTACTTTATCAGGACCTGGGCTTTTCGCTTCTTCAGTTTCTTGATTGCACAGTCCAGCTCTCGCTTGGTTAAGAAGTCCTGGAAGATACTCGGTGTCATCAAATCTCTCTCTTTTCCTTTCAGAACACTCAGTAGACCCCTGTCCAGGTCATTCCTTTTGCTGCTCTTGTTAATGTAGGCAAAATGTTTATTGAAGTGTTCGGCTTTTTTTAACTCGCTGGTGAGAACTTCGGTTTCTGTGTGTAGGGGTTTGGTGTTTTCTTTCCTTTTTTCGCCAGTGAGGTTATTTAGAAGTGACCAAGCTTCACGTCCACCTTGACGTAAATTGAGTCCCTCACACTTCTGCGTCCAGGCTTCCTTCTTAGATTCCTTGGTGACAAGTTTAGCCTCTGCTACGGCCTTTTTGTATCTAATTTTCTTGTCCATATTTTTTAGATCTTTCTCATATTCATGTCTGGCATCATTTTTAGTTTATGTAGCTTTCTCCAAGCGCTCGATCCAAAAGGGTTTATAGTTGGTTCTGCACCCCTGTGGGATACTCTTCTTTGCAGCATCGAAGATGGTGGAGGTGAGTTCACTATTAAGGGCGTCTATACTTTTATTGTCTAGATCATCCAGTTTAACAGTGTCCTCAGCTGTTTTTCTGAAGAAGATCCCAGTTTGCATTCTTGAAGTTCCAACGGGTTCTTCTTTTCCTTTGTCTGTGTTTCAGTATACTGATTTTGGTGAGAACGGGACGATGGTCACTAGATATACAGTCTAGCACCTCTTCACTGCAGTAGTTGTGTAAATCATCAGAGACCAGGGTGAGATCTGGTCTGTGGAGGGTCCCATGTCTCCTATGAAGAAGTGTTTTGGTTGAATCCACATCTTGAAGAAGGATGAGGTTAGAGGACTGACATAGTTCTTCAATCCTCTTACCTGTGTTGTTTTGGTCAGCATAGCCCCAAAGGGGGGAGTGTCCATTAAGGGGGGGGGGCTACACCCCCAAAATCAAAATTCTGCTCAAAATCATGGAATTTGAGTTGTAGGCTTTTTTAGCTTCCCCAGCCTCTCCTACAACTATTACATGGCATAAGAACCCCCCAAAACGGTACTTTTTCCCATACTGGGCATGTTTGTAACCGCCATTTCCTCATAAAGTCAGTATTTTATTTTTCTTTATCGGCCGTTTTCTCAAAATGCGACTTTTCTCTATACTTTTTTGAATAACTCCACCATTTTTCATCCAATCTTCACGAAATTTTCACAGAAGGAAGAAAAGAGGTAATATTTTATTTGTTGAATTTTTTTATATATGGAATAGATTTTTGTTGGTGGTGTCTGGAGTGTGGATTTTCACGGATTTTTCGCAAACTTGAATGCTACCTCAGGAAAAAATTCATTTAAAATTTTCTAATTCGATTAGGAAAAAAACAACAGACAAATTTTTAGATCTAATGTTTGTGAACACGCATGCAAAAAAACAATTGATTTCCATGAGCGATAAGTGCGGTATTCATTACGTAAGACATGTCAATAAAATCCAATATGGCGGCGTATCCATGGAAACGAAACTTTTTTCTCAAATTTGATTGCGGATTTTAAGACTCCTTACTATGCTTGTTATATGTGTCAAATTTGGTAAAATTCAGTCCAGTAATAAGCGAGATAGCCTCCAGGTGTAAACCCCCCCCCCCCTTAAGGTCAGCAGCTATGACCGTCTTCTTAAAGATAATACTCTGTTCCATGAAGTTCAGAGTGCTACTTGGGGGACAATAGATGTTATAGAGTATGAGCTTGCTGTTGCCATACCACAGGGTGACTTTATGTGCGTCTGTGGGGTGCCAATTAAGGAGCTCTACTTCACCCTGGATGTCATTTCTGATATATGTTATAATCCCTTGGCAACCTTCACATTTACATGGATAAGGGGTATACCCAGTGATGTTTATGTCACAGGATGAATGGAGAGTTTCCTGTAATAGAGCAATGTGGACTTTCCTTTCATACAAAATTTTCCCCAATTGTGTTTTCTTCTTGTCCAAGCCACAGACATTTGCCTGAAGAATATTGAAGTCTATAAGCTTCTCTTTTCCGTTACCAGTTGTAGGGGGTGTTTTCTTCTTGTTTTTTCATTTTCTCTGCTTTCTGATTTTCTTTTCCTTCCAATAACCATCCACCAGGCCAGCTTGGTGGCCCACTAAGACCTGGGGGAGACCTTGATTACCGAAGCGGCGTCTCAGCTCGTATGGGATTCTGTCATTTGTGAATAGCATCTAAAACTGGTGGTTCTGTGATTTTCCTTCCATCCCGGGGTAGGAGATAAAGCAGTGGCTGTAGGTGCAATGCCACAAACAAAAACCCAACTCCATCACAGAGAGATTGTAAGAAAAATGAATGGGTATGTTGGTGTCTGTTGTATTATATTGAGAAGTTGTTTGAGGAGATAAAGAAGAGACAGACGCTATTAGGAGCATAGTTGCTGTGTGTTGCTGAAATACAAAAATTATAATAATAATAGTTCTAGTAGTAGTAATAATACCAATTTGAAGCTAGATTCCCCCCCCCCCCCTCCCAGAGCCACCAAGTCCTCTCATCCGAGAGATGGGGGCAGGGGGAAGGCATGGCAGATCCCAGAGGATTAATGTTGTCAACAAGCAAGACGCAAATGGTCTCTGCACCTTCTCCACAGTCATAGGGCACTCCGATAAGTGCATGCTTAATACATGTATGTAGCTGGGTATTCCCTACGTAAGGTCACATCCAGTACAGTGCAGACAATGAACCTCTGCTTTCCACCCCACCAATACCCGTCCCAACTCCAGGTCAAAGAAAGGTTGTCGACGGAGAGAGGACAAAAGAGAAGTTAATAAATGTAATAAAGTAAAACAATAAAAACAATAAATAGAAAGAGTGAGAAACATAGTAAAGTAATATGTCTCTTTTCGGGGTCACCCCTGGACCCGTTAGCTTCCTCTTTTTCTTTTCCTATTCGAAGAGTACTAATCTCCCCCATCACGAAGAGGTGGGTCTATTTGGGGGGGATGATTAACTATGAAAAAACTATTAATGGTGTTGGTCTGTTATTTCATTAGTGGTATTTTGAGAGTATAGATGTTGTGACAATATGAAGAAGTCTTTTATTATACCTCCTCTATTAAAAGCTATAATTCATGGTCACTCTAATTCTAGAGTGTGTGAGAGAAGCACATGGATATATAAATGGTTACAATGAGATGCCATCCCAAGGAACAAAAACTAACAAAAATGTCAGGGGCGCCCTTCAAACTGGCTACAAAGAGAGAAAGGGAGACAAAGAGTACTTGCTTGTGGTGCATACAGTGCAAAAATATATATAAAATAATTACTTTTTATATAATACACCATAAACATTTATTAAATTTCACATTGAGTGTTAAAACTTGGAAAAACATTAAAACAGACACAAGTAAACAATAATAAATAATTATTTAATGACCAATGAAATAATCTCCAATCAAGAATATGATGAGACATCTCTTAAGTTTAAACATAAAGCCAGTAGGCCTAATCACAGTGGCTAACATTTGTATAATTGAAGGTGAGGCATCCCACAGCTTAAATGGGAGTGGGAGACAATGAAATTAATGTGAACGCTCGGAGACACATGCTCACAAATACTTTCACCTTCTTAAACAGTTTGTTAGAGTAAAAAGCTTAGCTGACCAACTCAGCTATGGGAATGGAAAAGAACCTCACTCTGTTAACTAAAGATTTCACAGAAATCAAAGCATAAAAACAAGAAAGACATTTCTTTAATTGTCACTAAGAAGCAAAGGAGCCTATCCAATAACTTGACAATAAATATTAAGAGCACTCAAACGCATGGTGCTAAACCAAACATGAGACCTGAATACCCACAAAAGTGAAACAGTCTGACCCATACTTGGATCTGACTTTTATTTTGATATGGAAAACGAAATACCAAATGCTCAACTGGGCTGACAAATGCCTAGGTATTTTATTAGCTGCTATGTGGGAGTCATAACAGAAGCAAGTGCAGTGAAGTTAAAAGGCTGAGAGACCATCAAATACCTCATGGAGCCATGTACAATGCTATTATTATAATGCATTCCTATGAGAAACAAGGAAATTGCTTTTGAACTTTGCTAACACAAAGCAAGGTCACACACAGAAAAATCATGACAAGGATGAACATACCACCTTTAAGAAAACATCATAATTAGCATCTATAACCCTATCTAACATTTGCAAGACTTGCAGCAGTAGTTACACAGAACCATTAAATAAAAGTATATTTGATCGGAGATGACTAGTGAGAGATATTTCACTCGTCAGCTGCCCCTCTTTGCATCATGTTATTTACGCGAGATCGGTGACGCAGTGCCTCGAAACTTCTTTGCATCATGTTATTTATGCGAGATCGGTGAAGCAGTGCCTCGAAACTATGTCACGCCGTACATTTCATAGTCTGTTCCTCTCAAAATCACTTCCCCTTGTTATTTCCTATAAGTTAATACCAGGGACAGGAGGAGGAGCGAGGAGTCATCTTAGTCAATACGTTGGAAGTAGTGGTATGTAGTGAAGTTGGTCAATAAATGTGCGCATAATAAATGAATTCATAAAATTTAAGCTCCAGTGAAGGAAAAGGAAGCAGAGTTGGGGTTTTTTAGTTTTAGAAAGAGTTATACGGCACCTGATGCGTTGCAACAATAAGGTCATATAAGTGCCGAAGAATAGATGTGTTACAAGAGAGTAACATACATAAAAAAGGAGGAGGAGGAGAGATAAGGACCATAGGAGCTTGATAGGAAAGAAGGAGTACACCACACCAGAGCACCCGCCAACCACCCACAGTAGAAGAAGAAGAAGAAGAAGAAGAAGAAGAGGAGGAGGAGGAGGAGGAGGAGGAGGAGGAGGAGGAGGAGGAGGAGGAGGAGGAGGAGAAGGAGGAGGAGAAGGAGAAGGAGAAGGAGAAGAAGAAGAAGAAGAAGAAGAAGAAGAAGAAGAAGAAGAAGAAGAAGAAGAAGAAGAAGAAGAAGAAGAAGAAGAAGAAGAAGAAGAAGAAAAAGAAGAAGAGGAAGAAGTAGAAGAAGAAAGAAGAAGAAGAAGAAGAAGAAGAAGAAGAAAAAGGAGAGGAGGAGGAGGAGGAGGAAGAGCAGCAGCAGCAGGAAGAGAAGGAGGAGGAGGAGGAGGAGGAGGAGGAGGAGGAGGAGGAGGAGGAGGAGGAGGAGGAGGAGGAGGAGGAGGAGAAGAAGAACAAGAAGAAAAAGAAGAACAAGAAGAAAAACAAGAACAAGAAGAGAATGACGAAGAAAAAGGAGTAGAAGTAGAAGAATAGAAACGATTTGGCGTATTGTGCGCACTAATGCAATGAGATGCAGGCCAGGAATAAGGAGTGGGGACGTGACCAAGACAGGTCAATAATTATACTGACCGAGAGGAAATATGCAGTAAGGTATGTGTTGAAATTTTAATCAAAACATTGACTAGAATTACTAAAATGTTCTGACTCAATCAATGTGTGGATGTTGGTATGACGTGACGGTAAAGATAGAGAAATGGTGTTTAAAACCCATTCAGACAAACCCTCTTGCTTAATTTACTATGAAAACAATAAGGTGATTCCTCGGTTGTGAGGAACAAACTAATTAGTTGTACGGCGTGAAACTTTCACCAGATGCCTGACCCCAATCTCGCCTAAATCGAGGAGTGACGCGTCTCTACTTTTTTGTCTCCGATTTGATTTCTGGCTTGACACAGCAGTACTCACAATGCCTCAGCTATCATTCTAACCATTCATGATATCAATAATTGCTCCTTGGCAGCAGACACAGGAGATCAATTTCAAACTGTTGTCCACACAAACAACTTTTGCAGTCTACACTTTGCATTTGAAGGAGAGCCAGGGATGGATTTGATTCTGAATGCGATAGTCTTTGCCTCAGTTCCTTCCACAGATTCGTCAGTGTCAGCTTGGGTACATTTGCAGCACACACAGACAAAATGTTCCCATGTAACGCTCCCATACTTTTACCAGTTTTGGTGATGATCTGTGGAAAAGCACAACATTTGATACACAGAAAGCCTATACTTCATTATACTCTCCCTCCCTCCCTCCCTCTCTCTCTCTCTCTATCTCTCTCTGTCTCATCTCTCCCTCTCTCTCTCTCTCTCTCTCTCTCTCTCTCTCTCTCTCTCTCTGTCTCTCTCTCTCTCTCTCTCTCTCTCTCTCTCTCTCTCTCTCTCTCTCTCTATCTCTCTCTCTATCTCTGTCTGTCTCTCTCTCTCTCTCTCTCTCTGATTTCATTGAAAAATTTGACATGTAAAACATAAGAAACAAATGAGTACTCTTCCCCCCATCTCTCTTCTTTTCATAAAACCTTCAAAATATTTTCCTTTGAAGATGATGTTGGGATCAACAGAAGTGCCTTGCCATTAAAGAAGACCTTAAAATGTATCAAATGTAAAAGTCCAATCCAAAGTCAACGATTCTTGGGGGCTCTCATGGTCTTGAGGTTAAGGTGTTTGCCTCTCTTTCAAAGGTCCTGGGTTCGAATCCGGGTAGCGACGGAAAGATTTTCTTTTCTAAAATTGTCTCCTTTCACCTCCTTTCCAATCTCTAGCAATGTTCTGTCGTCTGCTTTTGTCTCCACTTTCTGCCCCCCCCCCCCCTCCTCTGGGCTCCTGACTCTTTCTGCAGCCTTTCTATTGTTACTCTTTGACTCCTTCTTACTGCTGTCTTTCGACCACACCCCTGATCTTCTAGTAAGAAAGATCTACACCTAGCCTTCTCGGACAAGGGCGAAAAATCTCGGAGGTCCCGTGTGCAAGTTGCGCACGTTATAGATCCCTTGGTGGTCTAAAATCAATAAGAGAAGATTCAACCGCCACCCGGGCAAAATTCAAAATTTCCTACCACCCGAATATGTTTAATGTGTCCCGTGCATTCAAATGACCTTATGCAGTTGCGAGCACCGTAAAACACTTCCTATAAAAAAATTTAAAAAACGATTCCCTCATAATTATTAACAAGTAAACACACAAACAACGTAAAGTCAATTTGTGTTTTCGTTCTAAAAGAAAACATAGAGAAAACAATTTTGAATGATAGCCTTCAGCAGTTAGTCTTTGTCAGTCCAGCTGTAACACCTCACACGAGAATGAGCTGAATATTCAAAAGGTAGACAACTTAGTCCTCTCAAAAACATACAAATCATGGAAAAATACTTTTTTAAATGTCTGGACAAACTGATATAGAACTCCGAAGCAAACCTACCAGCTACCTGTCGATTCCCTGGCCTACTGCTCACAGCAGTCAGTGTCTTAAAAGTATAAAAAGCAGAGCGTGAAAGTAAATCTATCCAGCACTTTGAAATGGCGTACCTGAACAAATCCAGCTGTAGAGATGTGTCCTTGAAAGCAAGGAGGAAGGACTGGGCATCATTCTTCGACCACTGCCACTGTATCCATTGCTCAATCAGCTGTAGAACAGAGTATTAAATGGAGCGAGAACAAAAATAATAATAATAATAATAATAATAATAATAATAATAATAATAATAATAATAATAATAATAACAAAAAGTATTCGTATAGGGCATAGCCCCACTCAACAGCAAGCTCTATAGTATCTGTTTTTGAGTGGAGTGATTGAGTTGCAGTTCAATAACAATATTGGCATGATCATGACACCATTTTGCCAGGTAGGAAAATATCAAAACTGAAAATAAAAAAAGATTGGAATTATAGCACAGGTGGCAGAAGAAGATGTAGACAGTATATGTAGCATTTTAAAAAAGAACTAGACAGATCAAATCATGCTAGAATCAGCTATAATTCTGTGGAAATCATGATATTTGTTGGCGATAAATACTGTGTGGACACCACAGAAGAATAGTTTGAGTAAACAGAAACATATCAACACAATCATGCCAGACTCAAGGCAAAAGCAAGAGAAACAGACTGAAACAACAGGGGGAAAGAAAAGTAGTACCTATCAGTATCAGAGTTGTCCCAAAACCATCCACTACAGAAGAATAGTACAGACTAGCTCTTTGCAAAGCTCTATGCCCAAACACATTCTGTTCTTTTTAAAAGTATGTCAAGATAACATGAGAAACCACTCTTTAATTTTCTTGAGTTCACTCAGAAAGAAACCTCCTAAACATTGTGAAACATTCCTAATAATAAAATTGTGCCATAGCTACCTAAAGACCAGCCACAACCTATTTTGCATAGTCAAGCATCGACGTATGGGTAAGTAACTAGGTAGTATCAGTAGTTTAGTGGTTAGGCAGCTAGACTTGAATCATAAGATTGCGGGTTCATGGGGTTTGTTGCTCAGCTCGCTCCAACGTTGTGTCCTTGGGAAAGGTACTTTACACAAATATTCCCATTTAGCTCTGTCCCATCGGAGATGGACATTACATTCGGAGGACCCGCCACAAATAACCTAACAGTGTTGAAAGGGGCTTTTTGCCTAAACAATTTTGCAAATTTGCGGGTAGCTATACAATGCAATCTTGCATAAAAATACCTTTTCATATATGTCAATGAAAATATCTCTTGATTCTTTACTGTGGTTCAAGCCATTGGCGATACTTATGATTGTCTTTGATACAGCCTGTAAAGAAAGAAAAGTAGATAGACAAAATCAAAACTGCATTATTAGCAATAATTCAAGCAAGACCAGGCATTAAATCTTTTATGCTGTCACTGTGCCTTTATGATCTCAAATCTGAGTTAGAGTCGAAATGAATTTCAACAAATCTATGCAGCACTGATTTGTATGCACATTAAAACTTTACTTTGATTTAAATGATCTATGAAGAACACCTCATACAAATTGTATTTCAATAGATATGCCATTTCTGAGAGCATATACACACATTATTTTAAATAAATAAGAAGTCTAATCATTTGGAACACCATTATTATTATTATGCTTCAAAAGAGTGGGGTGGAGTTTGAATGTTATCTCATAAGGAACCAGAAATACTTACCCTGAAATTAGAGTCCATTTCTGACAGGACTTTTTCACGCATCACAGGCTGTAATGCTCGCAACATCAACCTGAGAAGAAAACAATCAACTTACACCAAAACAAGAAAATGAAAGTTTTAAATGTTTACCTTCGAATGATGTGTAAATACAATACACCTCTCATTAAAAAATAAAAAGAAGAAAAAAAGCATAGCAGAATACCAAGTCAGAACAGAGTTTTCAGTGTCTACTATACTATCCAAAGATCCAAAGATTTAATGTTACTGAAGCGTAACATACAAAAAGAAGAAGGAGAAGAAATTAAGATGATAGATGTTTGATAGAAAAAAAGGTGCAACCACACTAAAGTGCCCATCTGCAAACCACCCAGTCACCAAAAAATGAAGTCAGGCTAATAACTGTATTGTATTGTATTAGTATAAGGTTTTACGGCGCTCGCAACTGCTAAGGTCATATGAGCGCGCGAAACACAAGTTGTTCACCTCTGCGAAAGTTCACTTCACGACTGGTAACTAGTTTACTTTAAAATGCTAAAAAGTTAAAATATTCAAATTCGGTGTAAATACATTTGTGATCTAA